TCAAATCCATACCCACTCCCTACCCTCCAACTCCTCCCATATCTCCCCATCACTTTTTTCTGATAACTTCATGTATTCTTTCTTCTTCTTTGATTTGTTTATTTTTATGGGGCTTTTGGCTACTCTAACATTACCCCCCTCTGAAGAGGTATCCCTAAAATCTTTTAAGGATTAGATACAAGCTCCCAAATACTTTCAACATTTTTGGCCTCTGGAACAGAGTATATTGCTAAGAGACCCAAGGACATTTTTGGCTTTTAGCCAAGAAGCTGGTTACTTTTCTTTGGGGTCTTTTTACCCTAACTGCCTATTCTTATCACACCGTCCTCTGAAGAGGTTACCCAAATTGCCAATCAGGAATAGGGACACAGACCACTCTAGCTTCTTCCATGCTGAACAGGGACGCAGGGTGAGGCAATTGGAGTACCCCTTGAGTGAGTCTATCTAAAAGACTCCTAAATTGCATAACTCGTATCTCTAAGTGAAAAAGAAAGTCCTTGATTTGTGAATAGGAGATGTGAAGGAGAAATAAAGGCAAGAAAATTAGCATTCCAAGTTCTAGACAGGGAACTAGAAAAAAGTCAGAATGGGGAAATTTTCAAATGTTCATATGAGAGTCCACTGGAATTTCTTGACAAGGGCTTCCAAAAGCATCCGTCTATTGTGTTCCTCCTCATTTTTCTTTTGTCTTCCAAGGCTGGATGCTAGAGTGATGGATTCAGGATTTGCTTTCATGTATTTTGATACCTGTTGGAGTGGTTAGAATCAGGGTCAGTTCCCTCTCAAAGGCTTTTAGATAGTGGGAGAAAACAAATTTATCCATCATTTTAGAACAATAGTTGATTTTTACCCTTAGCTAGAGGTGGGCCCTACAGTACTGGAGACTAAGATTTGAAGTCTTACATCTAAGCAGCACTTTCTAATTAGGAAGAAAACCATCAATGAGAAATAATTGTCTAAATAACTTTTTATATGGACTTAAACCTAATGTCTGGGAAGTGTAATTCCTTGAACTCTTAAAGAAATACACTGATGACTTTATTCTTTGGTTATACTTTCCTTTTGGGTGTCTAAGACCACACAATTGGCTCAAATAAATCAGGTCATTTGAGGATCTGTTCCTCAGGGGTCACATGGGCTTGGGAGGAGCTCCTGGCTCCTTTCTTTTACCAGTTCCATCTATGTGACGATAAGCCAAAGGTCCTGCTCGACCATGTCTGGCTCCACTTGGAAGCATGAATGAGATGTTTCCTCTGAGTTGACCCTCCTCTTTGTATACTGGACACTGGTTCAAATCCATCTTGTGGGGTCTCCATGTCCTCCCTGAACAAGAGGACAGGTGACTCACCACAGTTGCAGGACATTTTGAGAGATGTTCCATAGTCCTGTGGAACTTAGTTGACCATGGAGGGCAATGGCGAAAACTGTCCTTTAAGTCCCTCTGACCACATTAGTATAGGCCTCAAAGTATGGCTCTTAAACATCATATCATTTGGATGCAATGTTTTTTAATACCCTTAGCTGTTTGATGTTCTCCTTCCTCCCTGTTAACAGAGTCAAAGGAACAACCAGGCCCAAGACAGGGACATGTTAAATGAAATAAACATAGTTTTAATCTAAGACGAGGGTTCCCAGCTCTTGTTCTCTGTCATTCTCGGTAAGCCCAAGTAGTACATGACCATTTACCAGTATACTTTATGGCGCACTTCCCTCTATTCTTGCTCATGTTCCTGAGGAGACTTAGACATTATCTGGCATCATTGGGTAAGCATGGCATGCTTGCTTTTCTCCCTCCATGCTGTCCTCTGCCTGGCCTTTGGTAAAATGTGGCAATCCACATAGCTATCATTCCTCCTATCTGGTCTCTCCATTTCATGTACTAGATCTATTTTGTAGGCCCTTGCCAGTGTGTCCAGTGGTAAAGACCACTCACTCCTCACCCTTTTTCCTCCAACCTGAGTCTCCTTTATGTCTTCCCAGTCAGTACTGGCCACATTTACACCCTTCTTGTGGCAGAGGATTCAGTACCTTCTCATGTTCTGCTGCAGTTCATTAAGAGGATTAGGGTTCAAAGATGTCTTTGGAAAATCTTCACAGGAACTTTCCTTAGCTTTTGTCTTTATCCCTTATATGGCTACATCCATCACTGGCTTTTGTATTCCGTACTTTGATACTTCAAGCTCTTTCTTGCCTGGTAGCTTAGATCTGACTTCTTTTGCATGGGAAAACATTGTACATATCCTCTTATATTCTTGTGTGCCACATATTCATGGCACAAACTTTATATAAAAGAATACATTTATATTCTCATATATCTTTACATACTCTGGGTTTTGTTATATAAATGTCCTATGAATGAAGCTCTTGAAGCAGCTGTACATATACTCACATGATATGTTGTAAAAACGTGAAGAAAGCAAGGAAGAGCACTGTGTATTCCATGCTCCATCTGTGGAAATAGATGTAGATGTGTGATGCACTGAACATCTCTGGAAAGCACATGACACTGGCAGCAAGCAACTTCTGGGGAGAGAAAACAGATGGCTAGAGGATAAGATGGGAGAGATATTCTTCACTGTCTTTTTATGTCTTTCAAAATGTGTGTCATCTAAATGACCTATTCAAAAACAAATGCAGGACAATTATAAAGCATTTATAATTTGGCTTCTTTGGTCCTGCTAGACTCCAGATCACCTGATTTTCACCACATCCAGAAAGTAGTTCTTTTGGCAAAGCCATCTCTTCCCCCTTCTCTGCTTCCTCACCTATGGTCTGTCTTCGGGACTTTACTGAGAGCTACATAAATCAGTCAACCTACTCCAACATTCTGAATTTTTCTCTTCCATTAGAATACAGATGGCCTGAGTCCCAAAATATAACAGATGATAGTTAGCTATTTTGCTAACTTTCCAGACTGAGATAGAGGGTTTCTTACTACACCTTATCTGCCCCCTTGGCCAAGCCAGGTCTATATTTTATGGTCTGTTTCTTCTAAGAACTTTTATCTGAAGACTTATCATGCAGAGTAGGTGTTTAGTAATTATTGGTGACTATAAATGCATGAATGAATAATTTCACCTTTAAGAATAAATTGCGTGTTTTAAATGTGTTATAGAGATTCTTGAGAACTATATTTACAATTTTGTACTTGCTCCATAATTATAGATGTGTTTTTTCCTGATCTAGAATCCAGTCAAAGTTCACATATCTCCTTTAATCCAAAACCAAAATTTAACTCAGCCTTTTGTGCCACATTATTAGCATATTTAATGAAACCGGACCAACTATTAACAATGTGTCCCCTAATTTAAATTTTTATTATTAACCAACTTAAACATTCTTAGGACTACATTTCATGGGGCTAAGTGGGAAGAAAGTGTTCAGAGAAAATGGAAGTGGGATAGCAGAGAGTAAAAGAGAGGTAAATTAATCACAACACATTCTATATATTTATGAAAATAGCAAAAATATAAATACCATTTCAAAGGAATACTACATTAATAATGTGATACATTCTCAAAGTATCATTTCAGGTCTTGGAGAGAAAATCCTTAACATGGTAGACAAGCAACACTATAGCTTGTGAAAAAGTCAAATTTGAGGAGTTTTTTGTTCTCTTGGCTTTATTTTTGTACTAATCAAGTAGAACTTAAGGTAGACTTGATATTAATATGTAATGACTGGTCTCTTTTAAATTGATCAGCTTCTTGTGAGTTTGTCTTACCCAATTAGGCAGCTGATAAAAATCAAGGTTAATAGTAATATTTATAACAGAGCTGCCAGGTGGGATTGCTATTTATCCTTATTTGGAGATTAGGATACTGAGACCCTAATAATGTAAGTTACTGTCTCATGATCATGTAATAAGTAAATGATAACATTTCCTACTGTTTATCTGTAAGACCTCACTTGAAAGCAGGCAGCCAAAATTCTTAGACTGTGCTTAAGGATGGTTTTCACTCAGCTTCTCCTTCCTAAATAGCCACTACTCCATCTCCTTCTGCCTACTCTTGTCTCAGTGCTAATTCATCATACAGTGTTGGGTCTTGATCATGATGGCATGATATAGGTGTGTGACTCTGTGACTGTTGTGTGTGTCCATGTACCACAGTACCTAAGTTTTATTTTTAGCACTTTACTGCTTTCTCCATTTTAATATATATTTTCTTCTTTTACCTTAACTAAGATTTTTAAGACTTAGAATTATGCAGGTCCATATTTAAGCTTACTTTATCACCATTCTCTCTAGGATATGATATTCTCATTATAAAATGGACTTTCTGGAATCTATATAATGGCACTGTGTGAGGACTGAGTGATATATTTAAAACTACACAGGCTTTATAAAATACATTACGTATTTCATGTTGCATTTAGTTGTTATTCTCTTTTTGATATTTGATCCATCTTAAAAGGTGTGGAGTTTTTCTATGTTATTGGTATTGGTGATGGTCCGACTCGGAACTAGACTTTATTTTTAAATGAACTGTAATAAAAAAGTAGCTTTAGAACTGGGCTATCGAGGATCAAATCCCAATGGCCTATGGCTGCATTGTAAAGTAGGGGTATTCTGACTACCTTTGTGCCATGGCTGTGACTACCACTGTATCTCAGTACTTTGTATAGTGCCTGGCATATGGTAAACACCTAGTAAATACTGCTGAAGAAATATTAAGTGAAACTATTGGAAGGATCAAAGGAGAAACAAAGGATCTAGTACACCACCTGGAAGATAGTGGACATCGAAATTATATTACTATTCTTATCAGCAACTTGACAATTGTTAAATATATCTCCTTAAAATATGTTAATAAACACAAACACAGAATAAGACATCGCTCTAATGCTTAATCCTAATGTTCTGAAGAATGAGGATAATAACACTCTGATCCTCTCATTTGTCAGAGGTCACTGATGGTGAGAAAAGTGCAGACTGGCGTTATAGAATGGTTTCAATCCCAGTGTCTAAATCAATGCATGCCCATTTTGTTCTGTTACAGAGAGAAGTGGCTGTCCCTCACTGAGACTTTCAAAGGCTTAGTGCAGCTGGACATTTCCTGCCATTGTTACACTACTAGATCTCACAACACTTGTTATGTTTGCCTCAGTTTCTCTCCAGAAGGTAGGAATGGTATTTTTTCCTCCATAGGTTCTTTATACGATCATAGTTCAAATATCTTTTTTAAACATGGAAAGTTTATCTGATAACTATAATTTAAAATGCTGATGCCTCCAATAGTTAAAGTATATGAACATTTCACTGAAAAAGAATATTACCATTATAAAATTAATATAAGTGAACTGTAAAATTAACAATACAGAAAATATGGTGATGCTACATTCTTGAGATACTATCCTTCATCTTTTCTCATATACTTTTCTGATATACTCTATTGACATTATGCATAATATATGGTTATAGGGTTGTAATAGTTATGACTAGAAAGGATACAAATACTTTGTGGCTATCCTGTTTCCTTTACTTAGTGATTTATTGTGACTTTTTCATGTCAGTATCACTCCCATCATGGTTTTAATCATCGTATAATATTCCAGTTTAATAATAGACCACAAAATACGAAACCTCTTACCTAGAATCATGTATTCACAATGTTTCCCATTTTCTCTCTGGTAAACATGACTTCAACACACATCCTTGTACATGTGTCTTAATGCTAATGTCTGATGAGTCTGTTAAAATGATTTTCAGAAGTCAGTGGCCTTATTTCTTAGACATGTTCTTTTAAATATTTCAGTGTGTACATATACAAAACCACAAAACTATGCGTCAAATACCACTGAACACTTTTGAAAATGCCAAGTTACGCTATATTCTTTGAAGCTGAATTGGTGCGTCAAAGGATAAATTAGTTGAAAATCCCTACTAATTACATTGTCCCCAACACTGTATGAGAATACCATTTTCTCATAGTTTGGAAACATTTGCTATTAGCTGTTCTTGTTTTTAAACAAATTTAATGGAATTTTGATATTTTTATTTTTGTTAATGTCAGTAAGATGAGCATCTATTTGTTTACTTTTCATAATTATAACCAACTTTTATTATTGTAACAATGTTTATTAACTTTACTTAATTTTTTATTTTATTATTTTTATTATATGTATATGAGTGTTTTGCCTGCCTGTATATAAGTGAATATGTGTTGTAAAATACTCATGGAGTTCAGAAGAGGGCATCAGATCCCCTGGAACTTGAGTTAAAGATGGCTGTTGGCCACCATGTAGGTGTTGGGGATCAAACTCTGGTCCTCTTCAAAAGCAACCAGTGCTTTTAACCACTGAGCCATCTCTGAAGGCCCAGCTTTACTTAATTTTTGTATTAGTCAGGGTTCTCCAAAGAAACAGAACCAGTAGAATGAATATGTATAGAGTCCGAGTAGTCCAACAATGGCTGCACCACACTGGAGAGGCTGAGAATCCGTAGTCGCTCAGTCCATGAGGCTGGATGTCTCAGTAGTCCCAATCCAGTGCTGAAGGTCTGACAAATTCCAAAATATCAGCTAGTCTTCAGTGTACGGTAGCAAGACGAACTCACCAGCGAGAGAGAAGGCAAGCCGCAAAAAGCCCCACTTCTCCTCTGCCTTGGTCTTTTATACCGGCTGCCATCAGACGGTAACGCCCACATTTAGGATGTGTCTTCCAGCTTTAGATGATCCAATCAAGAAGATCTCTTTCATTTCAGTTAATCCCAGATCCAATCAAGTTGACACCCAGGATTAGCCATCGCAATTTTTAATATAATTTTTTGAGAATTTGTATTGTATTTGCATCACTCCACCCCTCCCAGTCCCAGTCCAACTCCTCCCATGTCTCCCCCCACTCTCTTTTATTTCTTGTCCTCTGATTATTATTGTCACTATACATACATATTTATAAATATACATATATATGCACTGAGCCTATTTAGTTGTGCTTGAATGTTCATGTGTTTGGGGATGACCACTTGGGATTAGATAACCTGTCAGGGAGCTAGTTCCTGGAGAAAACTGATTCTTCCTCCCTCAGCATCCATTGATTGCCTATGGTCCTTCATCTTGAGGTGTGACCCCATCCATCTTGGCATGTCAGTTGGTTTTGTCATTGTGCAAACCATGTTTAGCTACCATACTGTGAAGATTTCATGGGTGCAGCTTTCCTATCATGTGTAGAATGTATTATCTAGCAGCAGGCATCCTGTTCCTCTGGCTGTTATAGTCTTTCCATCCCCTCTTCCACAATGTTCCCTGAGCTTTAGGTGTACAGGTTGAATTGTAGATGTATCAATTAGGGCTGAGCATTTTGAGAAATTGTGGAACTTTGTAATAGTCTCCATCTATTGAAAAAACAAGCTTCTTTGATGAGTGGTGAGAGCTACACTTGCCTGTGAATATAAGGATAGGTATTTAGAATGTAATAAGAAATTATAGTGGTTTAGGAACATGGCAATAGTAGGTTTTTTCTAGTTAGGTAGTGTGAAAACCATAGGAAAATGTATTTCATAAGCCTACTGAAAAACACACATACAATATACATACGTGTGTGTAGCTGAAGGCTCTATAACAAAAATCACAGTGCCATGCAAGGAAAACCTTCAAGTTGTTGGTCAGGGTAGTCCAAGAGACTCCCAAAATAATATAGGCTATTGCTACAGCCCTTGGTTGCTTTTCAGAACCTGAAGGTAGTACTTCCCTATTGTTGAAGACACGACATACTTCAGACACAGAACGTAGAGCAGTTGAGCTGGAAATGATCAGAAAGCCTCCTCCCCAAACACTAGCTCTCATACTATTAAAATAGACTATGCCAACTACCAAGGGAGAAAACCAATCAGTGGTTCTACCCAACAGTATAAGCTACGAACTACAACAATGACCAGCTCAGGAAAGTATATCTCTTGGTACAGTAGTGGCCCTCTTATCTAGGGGATTATCAACAGCTGTCTGAATAAACTTAAGCCCCATTCAATAAGAGGAAATCCATTCACGGTACTGTAATTATAACCAAGAACACGTGGTTGGAGAGCTCATAGACCCTAGAGAAAGAAAATCTGTTTTTCACTTGAACTTTGCATTCTTTTTATGAATATGACATTTGACTCCATGCCAGAAATTTGGAAGGATGTTCCTTTTTTGGAATCATATTAAAAATATTAAATTTAGCCAGACATGGTGGTGCACACCTTTAACCCCAGCACTCAGGAGGCAGAGGCAGGCAGATCTCTGTGAGTTCAAGGTCAGCCTGGTCTACATAGTTCCAGGACAGCTGGGGCTACAGAGAGACCCTGTCTCAAAAAAACAAAAACAAAAAAATATTAAATTTATACTGAATGTAGTGGCTCACATCTGTAAAGCCAACACTTGGGAGACTGAGGCAACAGAACTACCATGAGTTCAAGGCAAGTTTAGGTTACATCATGACAGCCTAGTCTAGTCTACAGCATGAGACCATGCCTCAAAAACAAAGGAACTAGAGAGATAGCTCGGCAGTTAAGGGCACTATCTGCTCTTAGAGAAGACCTGAGTTCAGTTCCCAGCACCCCCATGGTGGCTAACAACCATCTATAACTCTAGTTCCAGGGGATCCAATGCGCTTTTCTGACCTCCATGGGCATTGCATGACATGAGTGCACTTACATACATGCAGGCATTACACTCATATACATTAAATAAAAACAATAAATAAAATATTTGAAAATCTCTTAAGTTATGTATTGCAACTATGCCCTCTGTTTAATTTTTAATATTTTGATTTTATTTCTTGTGCTTCATTTTTCCCCCATAGAAGGTTAGTAGTACACCTCCATGTTCCAAGTTTTACATCAGTAATTAAGAACTTGTTGATAATCTTGTTTTATTTATACCTCCTGTTTATTTTGAAGTATCATATCTATCATGTCATTTGTGAATATTGCAGTGTATACACTGACTCTAGATATAATTTTACCTATTTGTATTTTACAACTGCTATAGTTTGACTGAAGTCACTTACTTTCCCTACAACATACTTACTATATTACATTAAATGTCAGCATTTGTTAATATTAATGTTAATTCTATTTTTAAATGCCTCCTACAAGAACTTAATTGTACTAAACTACTTATGACTAAAAGAAAGCTGTTGTTTGTCTCTCGTGTATGAAAAGCAGAATGAACACAAAGCTACACAGAAAGCCTAGTTTGCTTTTTCATTGAAAGTGTCTTATTAGGTGTGGTATCTCTTCTTCAATACCATGATATAAATTTCATTTTTCTAACTGTCCTAAATTAAATTCTGTAGCTGTATCAACATAGGTTTTCCTAAATCTTTTAAGTAAAGCTTTATATATGCTTTCTCCTCAAATACAACATTTGTCTTTATATTCTTGGATCAGGTAGATTATAACATCACATCTTATGCTGTAACTAATATCTGATTTGTTATTAAGGTGTCCATTCAGAAAAGGACAATACTTCTTAGAGTCTTCAGTGGAATCTGATAGTAAATACAGCTCATCATAGAAAATTAGGAAAATGTCCCCATAATAACCAAAGCCAAAAAAAATACAATAGTCAGAAGTGATTCTTACTCGGGAGGCAGAGGCAGGCAGATCCTCCGTGAATTCGAGACCAACCTTGTCTGCAGAGTGAGTTCCAGGCAGCTGGAGCTACAAGGAGACCCTGTCTCAAAAAGCCAAAAAAAAAAAAAGGATACAATAAGTCCTCACTAGAAGTAGAAATGGCATTATCTTTTCAAAAACAAACAAAAAATAAGTCTGAATCTGTTGTAGATATGTACAATCATGTATATTTTTATAATTAAGGAATCTTTGGGGAGGCTGAAGAGAAATGACTCAACTGTTGAGGTCACTTGTTGTTCTTTCAGGGGACCAGCGTTCCATTCTTAGTACCTTCTTCAGGTGGCTCACAACCACCCCAAACGCCAGCTCCTGGTCTCCAATGCCTGCCTGACCTCCATGGGCACCTGCATTCACACATATATGCACACATAAATAAAAAGAAAACCAATTTTTTTAAAAACAGAAATCTTTGGGGTAATAGCATCACATTCTTTAATTTTATGATTGAGAAGAGAGAGGAGGAGATTTAAACCTAAGATTTGCCCAAAAGCACACAAATGCTTTCT